AGGATATTGATGGAAAGGATTGTCACCTGCGGTAACCACATCCCCTGGACTGTGGTCCCTTCTAGAACAGCCCCCCAACCCGAGAAGATGGCATCAGTTACCAGCTTCCAAATCACTGATGGAAAAGATCTTCCCTTTTCCAATTTCCGAACTTCCAACCACCGATTCAAGCTTTGCAGCATCCGGGGGGGGAGGGACAAAAACATGCGGTAATCCAGTGCTGGAATCTTTTTGTTCCATGCTGACAGAATATCCCTCTGCAAAGGCCTTCGAATGGAACTGCGCATAGGGCACTGCCTCGAATGAGGACGCCATCTTCCTCATTGACCTCATGCAGAGACTAATGCAGGCCATAGATGGGGAGAAAAACGGCAGATTTTTCTTTTAAAAAACGAAAATTCGGTCGTTCAAGTGGCCGACGTTACCATCAATGGTAAAAAAAAATCGGCCGATTTTCATCCCTTCTACAGCCGGCAAAAAGTGTCCCTGCAGAGAGCTCCGCTATTTGACAGTTCTCTGACAGTTCCTTCACATTTACAGCGGTTGAAACAATGTATCTATTTGTTTCCATTTAGGATACAGATGTTTTTATTCGGAAACAAACAGATACAATGTTTCAACCGCTGTAAATGTCAAAGAACTGTCAGAGAACTGTCAGAAATAGCGGAGCTCTCTGCAGAGACACTTTTTGCTGGACTGGAATTCTTCTTATTTTCATCCTACTTCTTCTTCTTCTTCATCCTCATCTTCTTCTTCTTCATCCTCTTCTTCTTCATCCTCATCCTCTTCTTCTTCTTCATCCTCATCCTCTTCTTCATCCCCATCCTCTTCTTCTTCATACTCATCCTCTTCTTCTTCTTCATCCTCATCCTCTTCTTCTTCATCATCCTCTTCTTCTTCATCATCCTCCTCCTCCTTCTTCTTCCTCATCCTCTTCTTCTTCATCATCCTCCTCCTCCTTCTTCTTCTTCTTCTTCATCCTCTTCTTCTTCTTCATCCTCATTCTTCTTCTTCATCCTCATCCTCTTCTTCTTCCTCATCCTCTTCTTCTTCATCATCATCATCCTCTTCTTCTTCATCATCATCCTCTTCTTCTTCATCATCATCCTCATCCTCTTCTTCTTAATCCTCATCTTCTTCTTCTTCATCCTCTTCTTCATCCTCATCCTCTTCTTCTTCATCCTCATCCTCTTCTTCTTCTTCATCCTCTTCTTCTTCTTCATCCTCTTCTTCATCCTCTTCCTCTTCTTCTTTTTCTTCTTTTTGTCTTCCTCTTGCAGGTCACTGCTCATGCGCAGATTTTTTATTGGTAAAAAATCGGCCGATTTGCCCACTAATTGCCGCGAAAATCGGGCCGATCGGCAAAATCGGCCGATTTTTTTTCCAAATACCGAAAAACGGCCGACCAAATCGCCCACTAACGATCCGAAAATCGGCCGATTTTATTTTCGGCCGAAAAATCGGCCGATTTTCGACCCGTCTATGGCCTGCATAATTCCTGCTCCTCAAACTCCAAACCTGATCTGTCAGGGCGTGGCCCTTTCCTGGAGGCAGAAACACCTGAACAGTGTCTAGAACCAATCCCAAATACTCCAGACTCTGTACTGGCTCCAGAGCCAAGTTCTCGAAGTCGAGGACCCAGCCCAAGCTTTCCAGATTATGAATCGCAAGAACCACATTTTTTCTCAAGGCTTGGACCAAACTGACCCCTGATCAGTAGATCGTCCAGGCAGCCCAAAATCGCTATTCCCCCGAGTTCTGAGCAGCCCCAGAACTGGAGCCAGTATCTTTGTAAACACTCGATGTGCTGTGCCTAGCCCAAAGGTAGCGCCACGAACTGAAAATGTTGAGTTTCTAACGCAAATCGCAGAAACTTTTGATGAGCTGGAAATATTGGCACAGGCAGGTATGTGTCCTTGAGGACTATGGAGGCTAGAAAGTCTCCCTCTTGTAAAGATGCGACTGCTGATCAGAGCGACTCCATCCAAAACGAACGAATCTTTAGGAACCGGCTCAGCCCCTCTAAGGCTGCTTTCACACTGGTTCGCCTCAAAAAAGCTTGAAAAATGACAAGCGTTTTTGGAGCGTTTTTCAAGCGGAACATCCTAGAAATGTGACTTACTTTTGTAGCTCAAAATGGGCAGATTTTAACATTTTTGGCAAGTTTTTACTCCCAAAACCTAGCCACCAATGATGCAATAATGATTTTGGATGCAATAATGATTTTGGGCGCAATTCACTAAGCGGTATCTTACCACATAGCATTTAAAAAAAACGTTTGAATTCACTAAAAAAAAAACGCTACTAAAATACCGCATGAGTATTTTATCCAGTCATGCGGTATCTCAGTAGTAAAAAAACATGCGTTAATGTTTCAGCTGTCAGCGGGATTCCCCACTGACAGCTGAATGTAAAAGAAAGAGTCGCCGGCAATGAAAAAATATAATAAAACAGCGTGGGGTCCCCTCTCCATCCATACCAAGCCCTTCGAGTCTGGTTTGGATTTTGAGGGAACCCCCACGCCAAAATTAAAACAAAAAAAAAAAATGGTGTGGGATCCCCCCCCAAATCCATACCAGACTCTTAACTGAGCATGCAGGACAGGAAAAAAGGTGTGTGTGTGTGTGAGAATCGAGCGAGCGCCCCTCCCCCCCCCCCCCAATTTACTATGCTTCAGTTATGAATGAACACAGTGAGTGATCGGTTCTGGTCACTCATTGTGTTCATTTAGGAAAGGAAGGGTCTGCTAAATCAGACCCTTCCCCCACTCTCCATCCTGAAGGATCCTATTGTGTGTTTGCAGCTGCCGGAGGGAATCTGGCAGCACTGCGGGCACACACGGGGAAGGTATGGTCATGGGTTTGGCGGGGGGCAATTAATGGAACCAATCCCCTGTATGTAGAGAAGAAGCCAGCGTTCAGCTGCTGCAGAAAGAGCCATACAGGAGATCAGTTCCAGTAATTGTCCCCCAGGGTGCTGATCACCCTCCCGGCCCACATTCACCCAGCTTCCTGGGCCCCGTACAGGACGACTGGTGGTACCCCCTTATCCACGGCCCTGCCTGGCGGTTGTGCACGCCACTTTCTGGACGACATCACCTCCACTAGCGTATTTAATCAAAATACAGCATACGCCATAGACCTGCGTGAGACCGAAGCAATACTCTCTAATGCAGTCCACCGAAAAAAATGGGGAAGCATGTACAACCCTTGGCCAACCCTCCCAGGGGGCATTCCCTTTAGAATTACCCGCCATGTGTCCCGCCCATCCCTCCAGGGTCACCCACATGTAGCAGGCAGCATCCTATGTAAACCTTATGGCCAACTTCCTCTTCCTACTGCACATGCCCATGCGTCCCCGCCACGTGCGCCTTCACCAATCACGGCAGGCCTTGTCCTACTAAAGACCTTCAGGGACTTGGTTCCCCTTTTTTAAATGGGGGCCACTGCCAAGCACCCTGCCAGAAGCGCCATGGGGTTAAATGGAGGAGGACTTTCAGTGTAGGAGGGGTTTATATGGAGGAAGACTTTCAGTGTAGGAGGGGTTATATGGAGGAGGACTTTCAGTGTAGGAGGGGTTATATGGAGGAGGACTTTCAGTGTAGGAGGGGTTATATGGAGGAGGACTTTCAGTGTAGGAGGGGTTATATGGAGGAGGACTTTCAGTGTAGGAGGGGTTATATGGAGGAGGACTTTCAGTGTAGGAGGGGTTATATGGAGGAGGACTTTCAGTGTAGGAGTGGTTATATGGAGGAGGACTTTCAGTGTAGGAGGGGTTATATGGAGGAGGACTTTCAATGAAGGAGGGGTTATATGGAGGAGGACTTCCTGTGTAGGAGGGGTTATATGGAGGACTTCCTGTGTAGGAGGGGTTATATGGAAGAGGACTTCCTGTGTAGGAGGGGTTATATGGAGGACTTCCTGTGTAGGAGGGGTTATATGGAGGACTTCCTGTGTAGGAGGGGTTATATGGAGACCTTCCTGTGTAGGAGGAGTTATATTGAGAACTTCCTGTGTAGGAGGGGGTTATATGGAGAACTTCCTGTGTAGGAGGGGGTTTTAAGGAGGACTTCCTGTGTAGGAGGGGTTAAATGGAAAGGACTTCCTGTGTAGGAGGGGTTATATGGAATGGACTTCCTGTGTCAGAGGGGCTATATGGAGGACTTCCTGTGTCAGAGGGGTTATATGGAGGACTTCCTGTATAGGAGGGGCTATATGGAGGAGGACTTCCTGTGTCGGAGGGGTTATATGGAGGACTTCCTGTATAGGAGGAGTTATATGGAAGACTTCCTGTGTCGGAGGGGCTATATGGAGGAGGACTTCCTGTGTCGGAGGGGTTATATGGAGGACTTCATGTGTCGGAGGGGCTATAAGGAGGAGGACTTCCTGTGTCGGAGGGGCTATAAGGAGGAGGACTTCCTGTGTCGGAGGGGCTATAAGGAGGAGGACTTCCTGTATCGGAGGGGCTATATGGAGGAAGACTTCCTGTGTCGGAGGGGTTATATGGAGGAGGACTTCCTGTGTCGGAGGGGCTATATGGAGGAGGACTTCCTGTGTCGGAGGGGCTATATGGAGGAGGACTTCCTGTGTCGGAGGGGCTATATGGAGGAGGACTTCCTGTGTCGGAGGGGCTATATGGAGGAGGACTTCCTGTGTCGGAGGGGCTATATGGAGGAGGACTTCCTGTGTCGGAGGGGCTATATGGAGGAGGACTTCCTGTGTAGGAGGGGTTATATGGAGGACTTCCTGTGTAGGAGGGGTTTATATGGAGGAGGACTTCCTGTTTGTCCATTCACCTACAGGTGGCACATAACCCACATAGTCATTATAATGGCCTGCTCTGTGTCCTGTGATGTACGATAAAGAAAATGATGTAATGCAAGATCATGGGGCCCCCATGCACTTGGGGCCCATGGGCAGTGCCCATGCATTAACATGGCCATAATCACAACTCTTCAGGAAGAAGTCAACTGCAAGAAGATGATTTCTGAATCCACTCACCTGCTGGACGGCGTGGTCATATCCGAAGGAGGGGTCCGGCCCGCTGCAGACAAACACATTAGAGGGGAGCCCGGCATAGGATTGGCGCTCTACCGCAGAAGAGTCTCTCATATTAAAGTACAAGATCCAGAGGACCCGCGGCCTCTCCACGCTCTCGGGATCTGGAGACACAAGAAGAACCATCATTAATGAAAACAAAAGTCCAGATATACTCTGGTGGGAGATAAAGCCACATGGGGAGATACCGATCCACTGCATGCGCTGCCAGTAACATGGAGTCATGCCGGAGCTTACTGAGCTTCAAAGAGGGAAAATTGTTGGTGCCGCTCAGCTGGTGCCGCTCAGCTGGGGCCTCTGTGACTGAGGTTGCCAATTTATTTGCCGTGTCAAGAAGCGCAGTATAAAATGTTATGACGGCGTATTCAGTTTCCGGGAAAACGGCGTCTGATCAGCATAAGCGCGGTCCACATGGTCAATTGACCAAAAAACAAAAGGACAATGTGCAGGACAATCTCAGTCCCATGCCTGCTGTGACCCGGCATATCTGTACCTCCTGTGCCTCCCGTTACCTCTGCATACCTGTGACCCCCCTATATTCCTGTGCATCCTGTGACTCCTGCGCCTCCAGTTACTCCTGCGACCCTGCACTTCTGTATTTATGTGACCCCCCTATATTCCTGTGCATCCTGTGACCCCTTTACTCCTGCGCCTCCAGTGACCCCTTTACTCCTGCGCCCCCTCCCCCACAGTCCCATCAGTCTCTGTACCAGAGGAGCTTACACTCTAATGTCCCCTCCCCCACAGTCCCATCTGTCTCTGTAACAGAGGAGCTTACACTCTAATGTCCCCTCCCCCACAGTCACATCAGTCTCTGCACCAGAGGAGCTTACACTCTAATGTCCCCTCCCCCACAGTCCCATCAGTCTCTGTACCAGAAGAGCTTACACTCTAATGTCCCCTCCCCCACAGTCACATCAGTCTCTGTACCAGAGGAGCTTACACTCTAATGTCCCCTCCCCCCACAGTCCCATCAGTCTCTGTACCAGAGGAGCTTACACTCTAATGTCCCCTCCCCCACAGTCACATCAGTCTCTGCACCAGAGGAGCTTACACTCTAATGTCCCCTCCCCCACAGTCCCATCAGTCTCTGTACCAGAAGAGCTTACACTCTAATGTCCCCTCCCCCACAGTCACATCAGTCTCTGTACCAGAGGAGCTTACACTCTAATGTCCCCTCCCCCACAGTCCCATCAGTCTCTGTACCAGAGGAGCTTACACTCTAATGTCCCCTCCCCCACAGTCCCATCAGTCTCTGTACCAGAAGAGCTTACACTCTAATGTCCCCTCCCCCACAGTCCCATCAGTCTCTGTACCAGAAGAGCTTACACTCTAATGTCCCCTCCCCCACAGTCCCATCAGTCTCTGTACCAGAGGAGCGTACACTCTAATGTCCCCTCCCCCACAGTCCCATCAGTCTCTGTACCAGAAGAGCTTACACTCTAATGTCCCCTCCCCCACAGTCACACACAATGATTATTATACATTATATAGCTCTGACATATACCATAGCGCTGTATACAATATATCAGCCTGTGCCGCGGTGGGCGACACTCATACAGACGCAGGAAACCATGTCCTATGACCTGCAGCGGGAAGTGAATCCAGGACTCCAGCAACACAAGGCCATAGTCCCGTTTTGATGAACGATGTCGGGGGGGGGGGGTGACCTCCACATTCCTAATTTACAGAATGCAGATAAAACTGAATTCCCCTCTAATATCCATTGAGGTAAATGTGATTGCTGGTATGGAGTATGCGGGAAGCGTACACGCGGTGACAGCGCTGGTACACGGATGTACACATTTATTTCCCGCAGCACGCACGGCGGAGAGATTATTACTGCGGTGATATAAGGGGCGCAGGGGACGTGTCGGGTGGAAATGTCAGGGATGTCATTAAGACAAATGTCACAGATCGGTAATAAACATGATGAGACTGTCGCAGAGGGATAATGGATTCCGCTAACCAGAAGAGAGGTGAGCGCGTTATGGAGGACTCGCCGCCGTGTACAAGCTGTGCAGTGATCCCGCCACCTCGCCATTACTACGTATCCAAACCCAGAGCAGTGCAGACCCTGGTGGGGGGGGGGGGGTGGTGTCATCATCAGGGGGGACAATATCACATTTTGCAGAAATTTATCATTATATTTTGCCATGCGGTTAAAAAAAAAGACAAAGGGTCATGTGATCACCATACCGTATGGAGTGATACGATGAGAGCAAAGCACGGGGGGGGGGTCAGTCAAGAGAAGGATTTTTTTAATTTGTCATACCGAAGGATGTGTCAAGATTCAACATCCAACGCGTTTTCGGGGTTACGCACAAATCCCTCTTCATCAAGGCCTAACATTCCTGCGCAAAAGAGATTTACAGTAGATGGGTGGGTAATCCTGGACCCGAAGAGAACAGGGACCACCTGGAGGGGGGGGGGGGGGAAGGGAATGCAGCCAGCACATAATGAGTCGTGTAAATGTGATCAGGCGGCTCTACAGCCTAGACCACATGCGTCAAACATAAGGCCCGCAGGCCAAATCTGGCCCTCCAGGACATCGGATGTGGCCCTCACACCTCTCCTGTGGCTGCAGCGCCCCCCTCATCTCTGCCCCCCACCTTGTCTTGGCATATGGCAGCAGAGAGGAGGACAGAACTCTCAGAGTGCAACCTCAGAGAGGCTCATCTCTGACCCACATCCCCACCCTGGTCTCAAGAGTCGGCAGCAGAGAGGACAGATCTCCTCCTCCAGTTGGTGCGCTTCTCCAAGCAACCACAGAGAGGCCCATCTCTGACCCCCTTCCCCACCCTGGTCTCAAGAGTCGGCAGCAGAGAGGACAGATCTCCTCCTCCAGTTGGTGCGCTTCTCCAAGCAACCACAGAGAGGCCCATCTCTGACCCCCTTCCCCACCCTGGTCTCAAGAGTCGGCAGCAGAGAGGACAGATCTCCTCCTCCAGATGGTGCGCTTCTCCAAGCAACCACAGAGAGGCCCATCTCTGACCCCCTTCCCCACCCTGGTCTCAAGAGTCGGCAGCAGAGAGGAGGACAGAACTCCTCCTCCAGATGCTGCGCTTTTCCAAGCAACCGCAGGGAGGCTCATCTCTGACCCCCTTCCCCACCCTGGTCTCTCGAGTCGGCAGCAGAGAGGAGGACAGACCTCCGCCTAAAGATCTTGCTTCTCTCTGTGCAGCTGCAGCACCCCCCATCTCCACCCCCACCTTGTCTTGGCATATGGCAGCAGAGAGGAGGACAGAACTCCTCCTCCAGATGCTGCGCTTCTCCATGCAACCGCAGAGAGGCTCATCTCTGACCCCCTTCCCCACCTTGGTCTCAAGAGTCAGCAGCAGAGAGAAGGACAGATATCTCCTATAGATCCTGCTCCTCTATGTGCAGCTGCAGCACCCCCTTGTCTAGCATTCAGCAGACTCTGGCAGTTGACTCCAGCCCTCCTTTGCTCCTCCTCCAGACCCTGCACTTTCTGCTCCCCCCAGCTCTGCTCCCATATTTTTCCTGGAAGCAACACAAGGTAAGGGGGGGTGTGCACTGTGATGTAAGGGAGGGTGGAGGTCTCATGACTTCTCAAGGTCGGGCTGCTCTTGACATCTAATCTTACAGATACAACTGGCCCTTTTTGGGCAACCATAATGCTGATGTGGCCCCCAAAGAAATGGAGTTTGCCACCCCTAGCCTTGAGGCTGCTGACTGAAACAAGCCCATGTCTGCTATTGCACCAGGTTGGACTACATTCTAAACTGCGATGCTCTGTCCACCCTGAGGTCCTCCAAATCCCTTCCATGCTCCTCCTCCAAGACATTTCATTGACAGTCACTCACAAAACAGCACCGACCTATCAGCATGCACACAGTTCTGCATCATCTTGCAAAACTGGGATAATATATATCATTGCACGAGGCTTTTTACAACAATGTGGAGAAGGGAAATAGATCTTGGGTATGGGTGAGGAAGTGTTACCATTAGGGCTTGGCAAAGGACTTGGGTTTGGCCAAGGAGCTTGGGCTTGGCCAAGGAGCTTGGGCTTGGCCAAGGAGCTTGGGCTTGGCCAAGGAACTTGGGTTTGGCCAAGGAGCTTGGGTTTGGCCAAATCCAACCACATGGCCATATCAAGTAACCAATGTCATGAGCTTCCCTGCCCCTATGTGTGCCTGTTGCTGTGGGGCCGGGACTTCCCAACCATCAGCCCATTGGTCCAGCACTGACACCTTACTATCGAGTTTCAACCGAAGAACTGGCACAGCATCGTAGTTTTTACTTTTGATATATTTTTATTAAAGAGTATCAAAGTACAGACAAGAAGAAGAGATAAACAATGTACCAATAGATATTAGCCAGGATGAAGTGTGTGATCTTGGTGGGGGGTGGGGTGGGAGTTTGAGGGACAGTCTCCTTCATACAGGAGGGAGAGGTGGAAAGTGGTTCCAAACCCTTACATATATTCAGTGAAATGACCGAACCTGGGTGATATACAGCGATAAATCCTCCTACATACACTCAAGGACCACTTTATTAGGTCCACCTGTTCAGTAGCTTGGTAACACAAATTGCTAATCAGCCAATCACACGGCAGCAACTCAATGCATTTAGGAATCTAGACGTGGCGAAGACGACTTGCTGAAGTTCAAACCGAGCATCAGAATGGGGGAAGAAAGGGGATTTAAGTGACCCTGAGCATGCTATGGTTTTTGGTGCCAGACGGGCTGGTCTGAGTATTTCAAAAACTGTTGATCTACTTTTTAAAAATTAATATATATTTTTTGGAAAAAAATACACTTAGATATATATTGTAAAGCGCTGAGCAAACTGTTGGCGCTATACAAATCCTGCATAATGATAATAATAATAAAAAAAAATATATACCCCAATTTTTTTTGTAAAATATGAAAGAGGATGTTACGGCGAGTAAATAGATACCCAACATGTCACGTTTTAAAATTCTGCACGCTCGTGGAATGGCGTGAAACTGCGGTATCTCCATGGGTGATGCTTTAAAAATGTATACAGGTTTGCAGTGTAGAGTTACGGGGGGGGGGGGGGGGGGGTCTAGTGCGAGAATTATTATTATTGGTCTTGCTCCAACGTTCGTGGTGATACC